ATATTATATATTACCTTTAATGCGGATTCATGATACCGAGTCCCGGCAACCTCAATAGAATCAATAATTTTCCGAATTTCGGCTAATTCTTCAGCAGTTAACTTAACATGTTCAGCATGAACATTTTCCTCTAAATGGGAATTGCAACGATATTTTCACCCTAATTTAACATAAATCAGAATGCTAAGAATACTTTTAATTACAGTATAGTTGCGAAATAACGTGCCCTTGCGCATTATTTCAAGACATCCATAAGCACGTTATTTCGAAATAAAAGGATAAAAATTTTACTTGAAATATATACCGTAAATTCTCAAAACAGCGGGCATTATTTCGAGAATTTACGGTATATCAAATCCACTAATACATGTGCTCGAGATTTTTTAAGACGTGCATGAGAATTATTTTGAACTAAAAATAGGTTTAAAAGGATACGATTTCCGAAAACGCACAAGAGCAAATTTTTCTAAGTAAATTTTTTTAAAAATTCATAACTCAACAAAAATTTAATCAAATTTAATAAAATTTTTTTTTAAATAAATTCTACAAACTTATAAAATTTATTTAAAAAAATTTTTATTAAATTTGATCAAGTTTTTGTTAAGTTATTGATGTTTAAATTTCTAAAAAAATTTAATAAAAACAATTTGCTTGATTTATACTGACTCACCCCATATATAGATGCATACCTGAGCCAAAACCCATGCCAAACTAAGTGACTAGCAGTAACACCTTTTTTTTCGGCTATCTTTTCAATTTCTTTTACGAGTTCTAAATTTTTAGCAAAGTTATCACCCATATAACGAGGATTGTGTCTACGAAAATCGTTAGGTTCAAAATCATCTATGGATTTATATCTTCCCTATGTATTTTTGTAATTAATCATAAAATTAGTAAAATCAGCCAACGTCTGTTTATTCAATGCTTTCTGTAAAAAAAAAATAAAAAAAAAAAATAAAAATAAAAATAAAATAAATAAAATAAAATAAAAGCGTACCGATAAAATACCACGTCCTAATGGGCTATACGCGACAATTGTAACGCCAAGTTCTTCACAAGCTTTTTTAAGCCCATTTGTTTCAATATCAAGAGTCCATGGACTGTATTCAATCTGTATAGAATATAAATATATGTATAATATTTAATATAAATACATAAAAAGAAGGTAACATATATTTTACTATATAGCTTAAATTGGTAAAATTACGTGCCTGAACGGCAGCGATTGGGTGAACTTTATGAGCGCGTCGAAGCGTATTAGCTGAACATTCGGAAAGTCCAATATATTTAACTTTACCCTTTTCAACAAGTTCAGCCATAGCCTTAACTGTATCTTCGATTGGACTGTGCATTATTTATCATTAATAATAATAACATTATTATTATTAATATTATTATTGTTATTATTGTAAATATTTCATTAATTAATAGTATTAATGTAACGTCTATTTACACAGTAGGGTCGACACGATGTTGATAATAAAGATCGATACAATCAACACCTAATCTTTGTAAGTGAACATATTCTGGCTTCCCATTTACACCTAAGAACTCTCCATTTTCTCCGCGAACATTACCAAATTTTGTACAAAGAAAAACTTCATTACGTCGATTTTTTAGAATCTTTGAAAGTAATGTTTCGTTGTTTCCACAACCATACATATCCTTGATTATGATTATTTACAAGAAAATGAATTTATATGACGCGTGTTTATGCTATATTACCTAGCATATACATTAAAAAATTTTACTTTACATTATACCAATTTACGGTGAAGAAGATTTATTCGTTCAGAATAAAATTATTTAATGCAGATATCTAGGTAACGTGATTAAAAAATTAAACTTACTGCAGTGTCCCAAAAAACGCATCCTAAATCAATCGCACGATTTAATACTTTTAAATTTTCTGCTTCATCGGATGATCCGTAAAACTCACTCATTCCCTTAATTAAAAGAAATTAATCTAAATTTAGTTATTCACATTATACATAGCAACCGCATAAAATGTCTGCTGACATGTGATTTTAAACCAATCACGACACAGGATCAGGTGCAACGTGAACTGCCGGCTTTTTTTCTGCGTCTTAGCAAAATTTTGCTATATGTCCCGCCTTTTTTATTATTGTCCTAATGTTCATCCTTAACCTAACGTCAAAAGTTAATTTATTGATCGAAAAACGCCTGCGTTTTGTTTTGGCCAATGAAATTTTAGCGTAGATTATGTATAATGTTATTCACACATTAATTTCGTACCATACATCCAAATCCAACTACTGGAATTTTAACGCCAGTTTTACCAAGTTCACGGAGAACGGACATTTTGATTGAGTTGTATCAGAGATGATGCTTGAAAATTAAAACATCTTCGCCCTTTATATAGAAAGTGTTTAAGCTATGGTTATGCGTGTTACAAGCCTGTGAAAATCTGTGGTAATGGAATTAGAAGAGTGCGCAACAGATTACGTAATGTTCATTGACGATCCAAGCATGCTTAACTAATCAAAATTAGCATACATGTAAACAGTTTTAGCAATTTTTTTAATGAAATTTTTTGAATTTTAATTTTATGAATATGTAGGGTTAAAAAAATTCAAATTTTGTCAGGTAGTTGTCGAGAAACTGATTCGTCTATCAGTAAATTAAATTTTTTAAAACTTTGAGAGAAGTTTTCTCGATAACTTCCTAACCAAATTGAATGAAATTTTTTTATTTTATTTCTCCACATTCATATGATTAAAATAAAAAATTTTTATCGAATTCGATCAAACTTTTAAATCAGTTAAATCTTAAGGTATTATAAAATTATATTGAATTTAAACCTATCGGTAACTTACAATGTACTAATCCGTTATCCATTTTAAAATCTAAAAACTAGTGCGTATTAATAATAAACTTTCACCTTCCCGAAATAATACAAATTCAATTGATAAAAATCGGTCAAAAATGGAAATACTAATAGAATAATTTATCTTTATGTTAG